TTCTCTTTTGCAGATCGATGAGAATTTTGTTTTGATTGGGCTGGTGGTTTCTGAGATTGGAGGATTCTTGTTTGAAAACAAAACAACGAATATACACTTCCGATGAGACATACGGTGTGCTATACAATACAAAACCTAAAATCCTATTTTTGTGTCCATTGTTCTCATTCTCAGTTGGATTTGCTTAAGTCGATTTGTCTGAATTTTAGGTTTTGATTTTTGTTTGATGTTTGATTAATAGCTAAATTTCATTTTTAGTACACTATGTTGGTCATTTTTCGAAAAATGTTCTAGGGTGTGATCAATATAGGGTGTGATCAAGAACCGTCGCCAACATAGTGTACTAAAAATGACAACAATCACTTTTAGTACACTATGTTGGTTTTTGTACGAATTTTGATTAAAATGACAACTTAGTGAACCATTTTTTACGACGCCCTATACGATGGACAATTTTTGGAAAATGGTCAACATAGTAGACCATTTTTGAAATTTTGCCTTTGATTAATTGACTGAAATTAGGGAAACATATAACTGGTTTTATTTTTACTCTTTGTCTGGATTCAAATGGCTCTTACAAGTAACATTCATGAATTTTGCCAAGTATGTTAAATTTAAGCATTATGTTTCCCCAGCAGTTGTTACATGTATTACCAATTAATATATTAGTATAGATATCAACACGGTAAATCCCATGTTTGCACCATGTTTCTCCGTCTTAGTTGTGTGTGTGTGTGTGTGTGTGTTTTTTTTTTTTTTGTGTGTGTGTATAGTGGATTATGGTTTGATGTTTGATAATTGTCTGTATTCAGGGAAGAAGAAAGTTGGTTGAGTTATTAAATTCTAGTTGGTACCAAAATATTGTTACAAATCATTGATGAGATGAATTTATGAAAAACCATACTGATTAAATTTTCGATTTGGAGAAAGTCGATCAATAGTGACTATTTTTGGTTTGGAGTAATTTTGATTTGGTGTTCTCTAAGTGTAAGAGCATCTCCAATGGTTGAAGTGAATTGTTGTCTATATGGCAATTAAATAGATGGCTTCTGCCACGTGGAGGGAATAGACTGACATATTCATGAATAACTCTCTAGTGGTAAATTTCTAGATACGGTTAAGTCTATACACACGTGTGTTTTTTTTCTATTATTGTTCTAAGAAAACCAAAAAAAGTCTACACGTGAGTTATTTTGCAGTTTTGTAGTATTTATCTTAAAAAATTATGAATAATATTTTACTCTCGTGATTTATTTTCTAAATTGTTGTAAAATCAGGTTTTTGTTGCTTGTACAGGGTTGAGAATTTCAACAATGTTGTAAAAAACCAACTTTGATAAAGATATGACTCTAGCAATTGTAAGTTTATAATTTTAAATTGTGTTGTCAATTATAAAATTTATCCGATATAGAACATGAATCACGAATCATCTATAGGTAGATCATAAGAGGGAAAAGAACTCTCAATATAAAAGATAAATATAAAAGATAAGTAACATTTTCAATTTTTATTACATTATTTCTTGGTTGTTTTATACTATTAATCTAACCCNAAATTGGTTAAAGTTGGACACAATATGATGAAAGAAATGAAAGAAATGAGGTAAAATTCAGAATACCATGAAGCCGAACTACTTTGCTTAGGTAAAAAAAGATTACAGCACATACACAACATGGAGATGGATAATGCTATAACTAAGGTATTACAATATACTTCTTTTTCTTGAATACACATGACAACTTGTACCATATGCTGCGTTTAAACTATATACACATGATGTGCTTTAAAATTTGCTGCATTTGCTGGGCAATGTGTCATATGCTGCTGATAATCTCTTCATGTTGTTTGACATGTTGGGTAAAGTTGGCTTATCCCAAAAAAATTTGAGAAAATAGTTTTTTCATCTATCTTTTGAAACCAAAGTTATTACAAATGATTGATGGGCAGGGGTTTATATAGTTTCTTTTTTCCTTGGAATTATGAGTCTTAAATAAGAGATTAGATTTTACAGTATAATACATATAATTTAATGCTGAGGTCTGATTTCAAGGAATTTTTAATTATAAAACGGTTACATGTAAAGGAATAATATTGATAAGGATTGATATTGGTCAACACTGATAGATAATAGGAGTCAAATCTGTAATGAGTATTCTATAAAAATATAGTGCATGCATTTTTTTATGAGTATATTCATATTGATGCTATTAATTGAAAATACTTGGTCTTTATTATCATCCAACGTGCGACTTTATCAAATTTTCGTGCTGCCGTTGGAAAAAACAAAAAAGTATGATGAAAAAATATTTGGAAGTAGTTTAGGAGAATGGTGTTTGAGTGGTGAGTGGGATTGTAGTCATAGAATGATAATGTTGACCCCTGAATATCTTCATATAATTGTGGCGCATTTTTTAGTGTTTTTTTGGTTACTTTTTGTGGGCTCCTAATTACTTTTTATGTGAAATACTGTGTGTAACTTCATGTTGTGTATTTGACAAAAATTGGTGATATTTTGTAATTGAAAGGTTACCTTAATGCTGATTTTAGTAATTTACAACATTGATTTTTTTATACAATGATTCGACATTGTATTCAGCTAAAATCCCGCTTGAAAATTGTTTAGTGTATACAATGGTGATATTTTTATTGAATATATGATGTTTTGTTTTTGGTTATAAATAATATTTTTAAAATAAATGAGTAACGATTTTTCTCTTTTTGTAGGTTGAAATAAAGTATATAATGAGCTGGTGAAATATTTATTTATTATAATGAGTGAATTTTCCCATTATTTATGTGTTGTAAATTTCGTTGTGTGTATAATTTTTTCTTGTGCATTATTTATATTCTATGTACAATATTTATATTCTTTTAAATATTATTAGTTCTATTTTAGTTGTACAATGTTTATTAATTATATTTATAATTTTATTTTTCTTTTACTTAAAATACAATACTTAAACATATGGTATTTTTAATTGTCAACTATAGAAAGTTGGCTCCAATATGACGTCAAGTCGTCAACAATTGATTCCATTATATAGCAAAACTGCAAATAATAGACCAAAAATACTATTTTACTTGACTTTGAGCTAATTAAACTCAATTTTTTCTTCATAAAATTTAAACTTCATTCACCCTTAACAGATTGTAAGATTTTTTTTTTTATTTTTTTATTTTATGATTTTTTAATTATTTTTTGAAAAATGGAACATAAAATTAGAAGAAACAATTTTTCTTTTCACATACAGCCTATTCAAAAACAATTTTTTTATTAGAATATCGATTTTATATATCCAGACTTGTGAAAGTTATTGCATGCTTGTATATAAAATTACCAACAAAAAAATTTAATCTTAACTCAAATCTAACTTAAATTTAATTCAACCTCATTATCCTTGCTATTATTAATATAATTAAATAATATCAATTAATTATATTCTTTTAATTCACTATATACCAACTCAAATTATTTTAGCTGCTCATCACTTTCAATCACATTTGTCTACTTTGACATTAAATCAATTTTAATCATTTTATTTTAAATATTATTTTAATAAAAAATTAAAATCTCACTCAAAATTAATAAAACCAAGTTTTTTCAAAATTATTATAATTAACAAAAACTAATCCAAACAAAAAAATATTTAAGCATGCCCTAAGTTTTGCAATGAAACCTTTTGTTTTTTATTAAGGTTGTTAAAATGTTAAGTAAAATGTCAGATTCTTTCAACTAAATTCAACCCAGCTTTCAATATGCTTGATCATGCAACGTATTGAAAATAACGAAAGAAGCTTGTCTTGGTTTATAAGCAATTGTCTTATTCCTTTGGTTTCAATAATTAGCAACAAAACTTCTATAATTTCTTGTACCGTCTATATTTATTTACTATATAATTAGACAACATATTCCTTCGCGTACCGGCTATATCTATTTACTATATAATTAGACAACATATTCTTTTTTTAGTAAATTTTAGTTATGGGTCCTATGATGTGCTTTTTATTTTGAAAAATTCTTGACAACTTACATGAATGCGACGTGTTATTTATGTGTTCCACTAAAATTGTAATTGTCGTGCATTCATTTACACATTTATTGTTTTAAAGATTTAGTAAAAAAATAGTTTGCTTTTCAGTACGATTAGTTGATCAAATTTATCTACCTCTCCAAACACATCTACAATTAATTTATAAATATTAATGTTGATATGTGGATTTGTATCAACGATTATTCATGAATTATGTGTGGATTAGAAAGATAGAATTATAGGAAAAAAGGGAATTTTCTTGTGAAGGTATGAAATTTGGACTTAGGATAGGTCGGCCTCTTGAGAATTTTGAGGTCGGCCTTTGGGCTTTATATAATGCCTGGATTAATTACAAATGATCATTATTCTTGTGTAGAGAGATAAAATTTCTGCGATCGGGTCCGAAATAAGACTAAATTGGCTACATTTTAAGAGTTTTGGACCAATTTCGGATCTGACGACTAAATTACTGGACGAAAAATAGAAAACGGCCTATGTTACTGGACTAAAACTGCAATTTTTTCTTTTGTAATTTTTTTTAAACAATTCACATTTTTAAGGGAACCTTTAATAATTACTATTGTAAACGTAACAACGCTACTCTAATAAGAAAGAAAAGAATTTTATTCAACTAATTTGATCTCCAAAAATCGTAATCTTCTTATGGAGGGCAACTCCATTTTTGTGTTACCATGATCAACGAAGTAGGATACCACATGACCCTATAACAAAATTTCCCCTTTATAAAATGTGAATGTATGGCCATACACTTATTTTTATCTTAGCTTAGATGGGGCAAGTACATTAGTTAGTAGCGTTTTTTTTATTATTATTATTTTTAATATAATAAAATAATAACATCACTTTTCATCTGTCTCTAATTATGGTGTTGGAGAACGATTTGTTGAAGAATAAAAGGAAGCAATTTTTAGCCTAGTTGATGAACCATACATGTTAGCCCAACTTCTCCACCTGCCTCATAATAAGGACCAAAAGGATAATATAATCAAGTAAAAAGCTCTTAAACATTGTTAATGCAATTAATTGTGTCGCATAATTATAGCTTTGTGTTTTCTAAGTAAAAGGAGAATGGTGTTTTGTCGATGTTAATTTTAAAATAGATTATTGCTATTGAGCTCGAATAATGTTCTAAACCGTTTCATGCTCTCATCTTCAATTCACACCAAGATGATCTTTTATGTTCATAAAATGACATTTGACTTATACGTTTAAAATGTTAGAAAAACATATGTGACAACTGACAAGAAGTTTTAGTTTAATTTTCAAATCATATGAGATATCTCAACCACTCCAAGAAAACATGTTGTCACATTCCATATGCTTTTATAGTTTTATATGTATGGTGTTGAGTCTAACTTAAGCAAAATATTGGTTTTGCCTCTCACCGTGTGTGCTTTTTAATGATCCCACATAGTTTCTGTTGGAAATAATGTTAGCTGGCTGCTTTTAGCAATAAAATTGGTGTAAAAATAAATAGATAGAAGCTGACATTTTTACGCAAGTTTAATAGCATAAAAATAGATAAAACACCACATTATCATCAACTTTTGGACTCTTATATTTGCCCCACCTTCACTTAATAATGGACAAGGTGTGTGTGTAGCATATTGTATGCCAATAAGTTGCACCACCTGTACCACCACCCAACATCATAATAATAATAATAATAATAATAATAATAATAATAATAATAATAATAATAATAATAATAATAATAATAAATGATTATTCTATATTTTCTAATAGAATATACTATTCACATACTCACATACATGTAATTATCAATCAATATTTTATTCATTTCATACACCATCAGCTCTAATGATTACATTATTTTTATCTCACACTTACTCACAACCTAAAAAATACTTTGTGTTAGTTTCTAATAACTCATTCTGCTTTCTCCAAGAAGGAATAAAAATGATTTCTTATTGTGACCAAACTCTACCCAATATTGTGAGGTGGGCCTATTTAAGAGTAAGTGCACCAACTCCAAACTTCCCTCCCTCTTTCTCTAACCTCTTACTAGCACTATATATATATGAAAATTGTTGCATGCATTTTTCATCACTCTCTTCTCAATATCCAATTCAGACCTAAAAAAGAAAAAAGAAAAAACAAAAATTCAAATTAAACTAGGAAAGGATGAGCAATTTAAGTAGAGTTGGTTTGATGATGGTATTGATGGTTTACATGAGCAGGTTAGGAGCAGCAGCAGTTTATACAGTGGGCGACTCCACAGGTTGGGCGAGTGGAGCTGACTACACCACTTGGACTAGCGACAAGGCCTTTGCTGTTGGTGATACCCTTGGTAACTAACTATATAGTATAGCATAAATATAAATATATATATTTTTATTATTTATGAAATAATATAATAAATATTGAGATGATATCAGTTTTCAATTACTCCCCTGGGCACACCGTGGATGAGGTGTCACAAGCGGACTTCCAATCGTGCACCACCGGCAACTCCATAACCACGGACAGCAGTGGGGCCACCAAAATCACACTCAAGACAGCTGGAACCCACTACTTCATATGCGCCATCCCTGGCCACTGTGCCGGCGGGATGAGGCTCGCTGTCCCTGTGGCCGCTGGCGGCACCACCACCACCACCACCACGCCTGCCACCGCTACCACCACCACCACCACTTCTCCGGTGCCGCCAACTCCACGCGCCGGCAGCTTTGCGCAGTCGGCGGCAGCGGCGGCGGTGTTGTCTCCCGGGATGGCGGTGATTTTGGGCTTCGTGGTGGTGGGTTTTAAGAGTTTGGTGTTTTGGGTTTAGTTATGTGGCCGGGACAGTGGCAGTGCCGTAATTTGTTTCTTTTCTCATTCTATTTACTCATATTTGATTCTCATCTTATACAATATTGTTGTGGTTATTCATGTTCCATTTCTAGTTGTTTTGTTTGTAATTTTTTCTTAATCTTTACGGTACTTTTGATGGTCTTTATTGCATTTTGGGTCGAGTAAATTTAACTCAACTAGTGTGTATCCCGTGTAATGTACGGATAGGTTTATTAATTAAAACTTTTTATTAGTTTATTTAAATATAATTATTCATATTTAAACATCTCATTATTGATTTCCTAATATGTATTTTTTATAATTAATTACCATGAAAATAAAATAACTAATTAATTGACACAATTGATTCCTATGAAAAATAAGCAACTAAATAATTATCATGCATATTAGACATGACATTCCATAAATAAATATTATGCATATCAGATAAATAATTTGCAAATCCCATAAATAAATATGATGTATATTAAATAATTAGTAGCAATAAACATGAAAATAAATAATCTAGCTATTGTGGGCATTATAATAACAATCCAAGAAAGATATGAAAACTAACAATACAGTCCATATTGGAACCGACTTTGCTATCAGTCGAGGACTTCTCACCTGTCACATTCACACGTGCGTAAATTTCTTGGGAAGAAAAACGTAACTTCCTTGCTAAAAATCTCGTCCGTAACTGATCAATCTCGTCTGGAAAAAAGGTCTAGCATAAGAACGTGCAACCGGAGAAATTGCGTGTGATTGATTAAATTAGGAAGTAAATCTATCTCATTAACAACCAAAACGAAGAGATTTCATTATGTGAGATTGATTTAATTAATTGAATTTTAAACTTAAATATATCAATCAAATGCGGGATTTTCAAATTTTTTTGAAAAATATTTACAAAGAAAATTAAGAAGGCCCCACATAATATCAGAGATGTAAAAGACTTTGAATAAAAATATGAAATAACCAAACCTAAGAGTTTAATATTTATTTAGTTATTATTATTAACTTGTCTATAGATATAATTTTTTTAAAGCATGATATGCAATCATAATGGTTTTAGTTAAAAAATATCTATTTTATTGTTTAATTTTAAAAAAAAATTAGGAATGTTTGAAAATTTACTTACCTAATAAAATATTTTATTTCAAAACAATGTAGATATTGTATTGATATAATTTATTTGCTACATTTATGGTTTGTAATTAACCTATAATTCTAAATTCTTTTCAAACATATCCAATTTCCAATTTGGTTACTGAAATCAATAGGATTGCAAGAATCCACATAATTTGAAATTGTTTTTGCTATCAATTTGATATATATGTCATACGGCTGATTTCTTTATACACGATCATTTCACACGTTATTTTATCTTAAAAATTATTTACGTAAGATTGGTGATTGACATTGATTAGGAACTTATTGAAATAATATTATTTACGATATTTGTTTATCGTTGCAAGAATCCACAAATTATTATTATTATTACAAATTATGATAATTTAAGCGAATGAAAGAACCTCTTCTCAATTATATATAATTGTTAAATTTAGAGTTTAAAAAATCTGGCAGCATTTTATCTAAGTTCTTGGTGCTAAATAGGAAAATTTGTAATTTTGACATTTGTTATTGCAAATACAAAAGAATTTAACAAAAATCATAATACATGACTAAGTTTGCTTTTTATGTTTGACCAAATTTGCGGAAAAGATAAAGTAATTTTACCAGATGACAAACATGAGTTCATGTAAAACTTTATCTCTGAATTATGTGAAATATTTTGTCGGTTAATTTTAGTGTTTGACATTGATTGGGAACTTATTGGAGCCAATGTGTAATTAATTTCACACGATATTTCAGACGCCCAGTTATGCGTTTCCATATTTTGGAATTTAAAATTTGTTGGATTCTTTATCCATAACTAACTAATTACACGTTTTCAAAATCTAATCCAAATCAAATATTTTGAACTTTTTTGTTAAAGAATTCACCCGCCCAAAATAAGGAAAACATTTAAAAATTTCAAATAAAATTTAGGGGGGAAAAAAAGGATTTAAGCGGCAAAATGAAAATATTTTTCAAACATTTTTTTCTTAATTGTATTATATAGTAATAGATTTTAACTCAACTCCACTACCTCCAATATTATCAATATAATTAAATAATATCAACTAATCATTCAACCAATCATTCTTACACATCACATTAACTTTAATTCACTATTCATCATCTCACATAATTTTAACTAACAACTACTTCCAATCATTTTTCTCTTACTTTTATATCATATCAATTTTAATTATTTTATTTTAAATATTATTTTAATATATCCACTAACAACTAACCATACTAACTTTTTTTAAAATTAATTGTAGTTAAAAAAAACCAATTAATTGCTAGATGAATTCATAAACAAACACCCCTTGACACAAGATTTGTTGTTTTCCATTTTTTTTCCACTGATTTTTATAAAAATGTGTGATATTTAAAAAGAAAAAAGAAAAAACGCCTTAATTAGGGGTATATCAATTTCGTCTAAGATGAAAATATTTGAGAATTCAATTTTGTTGAAAAAAAAAATGAATTTGAAGCAATTTAGGCTGATTATTTTATGGAAAAAAATCGAATATAATTCAGGATGATGAGATAGTGCAATAATATTTTCTTAGTGGATGAAAACATTATTTAAGTTATTGAGTGAAGTGGGCTTGACCTACAGTTAGGTCATGACTTAAGAAGTCCACATCATCACCTCCTTAGGGTCTGCAACCTATATATACATCACATCTTTTGGGGTTGGGAGAAAATGAGAGACAAGCATATTCACGTGTGATAGCCGCCCACATCTCTCTTCTTTTCTCTTCTTCCTCTCAAAGTAATCCCAATAGAAATATCTCTGAGATCGTCGCCCACCAAAATGATAGGAGAAGATGTCGAGTCATACAACAGAAGATCCGAGGTAATTTATGACTGATAAATATATATATTTAACCCCGTAAAATATATATATACATCCCCGTGAAGATCCAAAAGCCGCCGACAATCATCTAGCAACCACCGGAGAAGTTCCCCGAGAGTCCGATAACCCCCGGTGACCTTGGAGAGAGCAGCCGCAGCCCAGTCGTGCATGGCCGCGTTCAACCCCGTCCGAGGCCGCACAACACCGCAGCAGGCGCAGAGAGCCCCATCAGCATTGTTCATGTCCGCGAGCAGCTTTCTGGAGGCGTCCATGCCGTCCAGGAGTTCCCAGCATGCAGGAGACGTCGACCCGCATACATATCGCGTGACCCGCATGCGACCCGTCTGCCGTGTCGTGAACCACGTGTTCCCAGTGACACATGCATATGTTTATAGTTTCGAAAGAATTTGATTTCAGTTTTGAAGTTGTTTTTGAATAGATATTCTGTTTTATTTGATTCCCGAGTCGTGGTTCGGAAGAATAAATATTTTATATGTTTGGGTTCATTGTAAGGAAACTTATATATTCTAAAACCAAGTACTCCCACAATGTAAAAAACTGAAATAAACAAAACAACGTCCAACTTAAATAAGAGAAAAGAACACTCTAAAATGAATCAAACATATTTATGGCACCTTAGGCTAGGTCATACGAACTTGAGTAGAATTCAAAGATTGACAGTAGATAGGCATCTTAGTTTGTTCAAAGTTGAGAACTACCTGATCAGTGAGTCCTGCTTGGAAAGTAAAATGACAAAGCGGGGCTTTTAAAGAAAGTGGTATAGGGCCAAAGATGTGTTGGAATCTATTCATTCTTATTTGTGCGGTCTAATTTCGGTCCAAACTAGAGGTGGTTTTGAGTATTTCGGTACTTTTATAGACGTTTATTCGAGACATGGATACATTTACTTAATGCGCCACAAGTCTGAGTGCTTTGAGAAATTCAAAGAGTACAAGACAGTTGTGGAGAAGCATCAAGTAGAAGTATCAAGTCGGTTTGATTTAATCAAGGTGGCGAATATCTATCGGGAGAATTCAAGAGTTATTTATTGGAAGCTGGGATTGAATCCCAACTTACTGCCTCCGGCACACTTCACCAGAACGGTGTTGCAGAACGGAGGAATAGGACTCTTATAGAAACGGTTAGGTTGATGATGAGTTATTCATAACTACCAAATTCGTTTTGGGGTTATGCGGTACAGACAACAATGTACATTCTGAACTTTGTACCATCTAAGTCAGTGCCTTCTATGCATGTAAAATGATGGACCAGCCGTAAGCCCAGTTAGGTCTCTTCCAGATATGGGGTAGTTCAACACATGTGCTTAAGGAAGATGCTGACAAGTTGGAACCTAGTACAAAAGTTCTTCTGTTCGTAGGATATCCCCATGGAACGAAATCTGGCTTGTTCTATATTCCCAGAGATCAGAAAATCATCATTAGCACGAATGCCCAGTTCTGAAAAAATATTATTTTATGAGCAACAAGCCCACAAGTAGAGAGATCGTAGAGGAAGTAGATAATAGGGAAGTTTAAATACCACGTGTGCAACAAGATATACCACAAACAAATGCACCTCGTCTCACACAATATATACCTTTGTTAGTAGTACCTCGTCGCAGTGGGAGAGTTGTTCGCTAGCCCAATATATTTATATTCTTGGGAGAGTCTTCGAACTTGATTCTGGGTGAACAAGAGCTAAATCTATGGACCTGCAACGAGGCACTTGAAGACAAGGATGCGGATTCTTAGAAACTAGCGATGAAATATAAGATCGAGTTAATGGACTTGAACAAAGCGTTGGAACTTGTGGATACACCAAGCGGCGTAAAATTCATTGGGTGCAAATGGGTCTACAAGTGGAAGAGAGGATCAGACGGTAAAGTGAAAACCTTTAAGGTCAGGCTTGTAGCGAAAGGGTACACTCAGAAAGAGAGAATCGATTATGAGAAGTGCTTTTCGCTAGTAGCATGCTTAAGTCTATCCAGATTCTTCTGGTCGTTGACGCTCTTATGGAATATGAGTTTTGGTTGATGGATGTTTAGACAGTTTTCCTTAACGGAAGTCTTGAGGAAAACATCTATATGAGGCAACTAACGAGTTTTATTGCTAAAGGCCAAGAGCACTTGGTTTGCAAGTTGAAGAAGTTCATTTATGGACTTAAGCAGACTTCAAGGTCTTGGAGTATCCGATTTGATGAGGTTATACAGTCTTATGGATTTACTCAGAGTCCGGATGAGCAATGTGTGTATAAAA